CCTCGCGGCGCATTTGAGTTTGATTCGGCCTCGATAAACCTGATAAACGGCCTCGAGGCACTTACGAGTCAGCCATGTGCAACTTGGGATTATTATGACGGTGTTTATTATATTTGTTATGTAGCAGAAGGGAGAGATTTGAGAATATTCTAAGTAGAATATCTCTTCATACCAGAGGATTGAGGAACTGTTCTTGGAAAAACGAATCAGGAGGAAGTTTTCCTGTAGAAAATGACTCGAAGTGACTCGAGTCAATTTTTGATGCGACTCGGACTCGGACATCGACTCGAACGCCACTGACTCGACTCAGACTCGAAAAAGTGATGACTCGCCCATCTCTGATATAAACGCATATATATACTTGTCTAGCAAGTCATCCAGTCCGCTGGTATAGATGAGGACTACGAAAGAATCGACGATTATAAACGAAGTGTTGAGTGCTGTGAATGCGCATTGAATGTTTTACAGTTATCATTTGTATTGGATCATCACTTATTTCCCAATACTTAACATGTCCCAATAATAACATGTTTTATGAAGATAAAAATAGACTTATTAGCTACATGATAGCTATAGTGATTTATTGTAATAAACAAATGAAAGTGTGTAACTTCTGTTATATTACAGATATTTTACAGTTAATTTTTGTTCTCGACTTGAGAAGATTAGGTTTAAATTTATCGTTACCATTATTACTGAATTATTATATTCAATATTATATTTTGTTAAAACAATTATTATATTGATTGAATTTTGCTTGTCTATACTATAATCGTAAATACCAATATTCATTTTTTCATTTTTTACACATTTTATTTTTAATTCATTTGATTATGATTTACAAACATATTTACAACGTATACAAAATATTATTAATTAGTTCTAATATTATTTTTATTATTCTTAAACTCCGCAATCATGAAGATGATAGTAAGCGAAAAGAAGCGGAAACTTTTCAATCATCAACGTATTTTTTTAGAACACGCATTTAATTAACATGACCTCACACTAAAAGTAATGTGTCGCACGTGTCGTAAAACGCGACATATTCGGCTACCACACCGATTGTCAAAAATGATATATTTTTCCATTCAGACTGCGAAACATTCGCTGCAACATATACAACACGTTCTTTTAACAGTATAGAAAATCGTAGGGATTTAGTATGTTTTGTCTCTTATTCTATTTTTAAAATAATTGCAGATTGGTTCGGCCGCTTTGCTTAATGTCGATGCGACGAATCTACCTGTGATATCTAATGGACTCGGAAGAGTTTAGCTATTTAGATATAGTTTTGAGAGCGTAATTAAGGACAAAATTGATTATAAATTCTGGGTTAAACTTCATGAACTTAGACTGAAGTCAAAAAGTACAAATAATTAAGTTCCATTTGTCTCAAAGGAAGGTTTCAACTCTTAGAAAACTACTAAATCAAAGAAATGAGTTACATTTTTTGTTTTATTAGCGATATCTTCCATCTATTGCTCCTTCAAGATCAAGGGATGGAAAAGAATTATCAAACGAAGAATGCTAAAGCACACTAGAACAGAGGCACGAGCTGCGAGGTTTCCTTCCTAGGGCCTAACATATGTGCTAAAACCACATCTTTAGAATCTTAGTAATTGTGACGCTTCGATCGCCACACATTCGTTTGCGACATGTTTTGCTCAGAGAGTCTGCGACACAATGTACTAAGATATATAAATGCGCAACGTTATTTTTTACTGTGTATTTGATAGAGAACTTTACAAAAACAGAAATATTTTGAATGGCAAACTACTTGTACATCGAACAGTTTGTTTTGGTCGATGTCTTATCGTAAGTGTTAATGAAAAAACTTTTTGTATTTATTCTGTTATCTAAGCTTGTTAGTTGAGTTCTGAAAACTAAATATTTTACTGTTAAAATAACATAAATTAAATATATCACAATAGTATTCTTAATATTAGAGTCTATTTAATTCTATGAACTTTTTCGAATAAATACGATCGTTTACTTTCATCTGCATATTTTGTAGAATATTTTTATTATTCAGATAAATACTTTTACATGATATTCGAAACTCGACTAATCATTGTTTTTTACCTGGACATTTTTGAGAATGATAGGCAGCAATTTTGAAACAGAGCAACCAGATCAGGACTAAATAGAGATAGTCGTTTCGCAAGTGTGAAATAGCTAAAGCAGAGTTTGGAGACTCTATTTTCTAGCCTAACATCACTTTAACTATTTTCCTTTCTTTTGAAAGTTACTCAATGGAGCAAAGTTTTAACAAACGCTCCTGTTTTATCAACAGCAATGAACGAAGTTGAGATGAATAACGTGGTGTTCTGCGTCACTTTATTGCACAAGGTCTGTTTTTTGTTTAAATTTAAACTACTATTTTAAAAATAGAAGTATTGTTGGTGTGATATGTTTGTTCTTGAGTCAATGTAAAATAGATAAGGTTTGCTGACGATTTTTCTGTTGCCGTTTCTTTTTCATTTTTCTACTGTTATTTGAGTATGGCTGTTAAGTAGAGAATAAAAAAAAAACAGAACAAAGAATAGAGAGCTGATAACTACATTATTTTTTACTCTATTTTAGACTCTTGTTGTAAATAATCACATTCTTTTTGCGCACACTTTCATCTTGCGAGCAGGGATTTGTGTACACAGATTTTAAAGAAGAACATAAGCAATAATCATGTCGTGGGGCTTCGGCAAAGTAAGTTTTCTCTAGATTCATTAAGTTACTTTGAGTTTTCTTGTATTTAGCAACTCCCATATACTGAATATTTTCCAGCGCCTGCTACTCCTGGCTCACAAGTACTTGTTAATGGAACGCCAAGTGGCAATCGGTAAGTTTTGGTCTCTTACAATTGTTTTGTAATCAACTTCACTGCTTATTTATTATCTATAGATTTGAAGTCAATCTATTGAATAATCAAGGCGATGTTGTTCTCCATGTTAATCCTCGATTTGATCAACGAGAAATTATTTTGAATAGCGGTTTGTACAAATATACATTTCTTATACGATATTTTCTCTCTAATATAATCATTCGTTCTTCGTGTTTAGCACCAGGAGGAAATTGGGGAGCAGAAGAAAAGAAACATTTATCATTGCAAAATGGAATACCTTTTCAAATGCAAGTTTTAATGACACATGACAGTTTCAAAGTATGTTGTACTTTTTTCTTGATTTTTTTGGCGACTTTCGTATAAAAATTGATCATCGTAAGAAAAACCTCTTCGGCAGGCAAAAAATACAGTAAATTCGCTTTAAAAAATAGCAGTAAAAATTCGCTTTATGAACAATATGTGGCGCAGACGCATTTGTTAGCTGAACTTTTGTCGTTTTGGTAGCCTTGTACGCTCGTATGGATTTTGTAGTGTATCGTGAGACGATGTACTCGTTATATCAGAGGAGGTTTACATTTTAGCCTCACGATGAGTCGTGCAATAAACTTTTCTCCCGTTTCTCCATATTACATTTGAAGTTGTTTTAGGTTGCATTCAATGGTCAACATGCAGCTGATTTTTATAATCGTATGCCCTATGCTCAGGTAACTCAAGTTCAAGTTAAAGGTGATTTAAGATTGGATAATGTTCAAGTGTTCAGTGGATCAGTAAGTCACTGCTCCCTCCCTAATTTGAGATGATGTGTACAACTTTTCTTTGCTATCTTTCATCAAAGTCTCCCGGACATCATCATCATCATGGCGGCGGAAGTTTTATACCACCACCAACTGTCCCGTTTATCCCAGGTGGTCAATTTTCAAATATGGGAGCATTTGTTAATACAAGTGTTTATCCAACAGCACCACCAGTACTTCCATTTGGTGGTGGATCTATGGTCAGTATCCCAAGTAAATTCACTATCAGGAAGAGAAAAAATGTATCATTGTCCATTTTAGGGGGGCGGTGGTGATGGGTCAATCAAACCATGTGCGTTATATCCTGGTTCTAGAATTTCACTTCAAGGTTACATAAATCCCGGTGCACAACGATTCGAAGTCAATTTATTACACGGTTATTCAGAAGGTTCCGATGTTGCATTTCATTTTAATCCTCGTTTTGATCAACAACAAATTGTTAAAAATTGGAGAATAAATGGTCAATGGCAACAAGAAGAAAATAGTCCACTTCCACAATGGGTATTAGTACCGGGACAACCATTTAATATTCATATTTATTGTCATCAAGATCGATATCAGGTATAAATTCTTAACTGTATTAAAAAGAAAAAGTTACAATTTGTTTTATGTTATAATTTAGGTATTAGTACAAAATCAACAATTTCTAGAGTTTCGTCATCGAATTCCAGTTGGTGCTGTGACGGCTGTCCAAGTTAAAGGAGATGTTTCATTTACTGGCGTACAAACCGTATAGCAACATGATTGAAATGGGTCCAAAAAGGGAAAATTCAGAAAAGCACTTTTTATCAAACAAATATCTATTTTTATATCTTAAAAAGTCTTTTCTTATTTACTTTAAATAAAATCTGTTTTCATACGTGTTACGTTTAGTCATTGTTCCAATTATTATTCATCCATGATGTTAATCTATCCCCAAAGAAAAGACAGAAACGTCAATTCATGAGTCAGAGGGAAAATGACTAAGAAAAAGGATCAATTTTTCCTTACGATATATCGATAGCATTTCCAAGAAAGAAAATGCTTGCCTTACAGTAAAATAAATCAATAACTATTTTTTCAATCAGTCGAATGTATCGAGTTTTCTAGAATATATTCATATAAGTTCTGATATTTTGTAGAATATTTTTGTTATTCAGATAAACATTTTTTAAAATATTTTTGATACACGATTTGTTGTTCATCATTGACTTCAACTGATTTACTACATTCTTAATAGCTTCACAGATATATCACACCAACAATGTTTCTATTTTTAAAATAGTAGCGAATATGCAGACAAAAAACAGACCTTGCGCAATAAAGTGATACAGAACACCACGTTATTCTCTACAAATATGTAATAGTGTTGTTCATTTGTTGCTAACATTTGACATTTTTCTTCAACTTCTATTAAAAGTGATACATTTTTGTATTTTATCAATAAATCTTTCGTGAATGTTGGATGATAATGACAGTTTTTGATGTAAAAAATAATTACTAAGATCAAGATAATAAAATAATGATTTTAATCCGTCGGTTCTCAATAATTCACCGAGTTCAAATATTTGTTTGTCGTCTGCATTGTTACTCAATAGTATTGTATCATTTGTACAATCAAACTGTTTGTTTTATTACCGCTCATATTTTCAAGTAATCCATGACATTTGTTTTCAGATGTTTTAGACAAAATTGTAATTATGTTGAGAATGAATATGTGTGACTAGTGTACAGTCTGGTTTTTGCTAGAAAGTATATAAAGTGTACAGATTCTGAATATTGCGCTAACATTTGAAGATAAGAATACATTTAGGATTTGTTATGGATTTAAAAGAAACTTAATCCCAAGTTTCTAGTGTCAGATATCTGCCCTGTAGATTTGAATTTCAGAGTGTACTCAGCGCACTTTTCTCTTTAAACTAAAATCGAAGAAAATTTAAAAAGTAGTCAGCTTTATTTATATGGACGTATTCGTCGATACAAACACTGCCGTTTCGTAAAATTGCTTTACTGTTGAAAGCTGAATATGCTCTTTGCTCTAAAAACTATATAATATGCTAGGCAGAAAAATCGAAATTTATATTAGAATTTCATGTAGTTTTAACTGTAAAATTAGTGAGCTGCGGGAACAAAAGTATGTACATTCCGTCTCAGCTGAGTAGGTTTTTTTAGCTTGCATCGGCTGCAATCATTATAAAATCAGCAGAATATTTCACTTAAACTTTACTTAAAGCTGCCGATATAGTGAGAAATAGGAAACAATCTTTTCACGAGAAATAGGCAAACTTTTTTAACGTTTTGTTTTACACAAAATTTAAGGATTTTTTTTCGAAAATTTGATTTTCTCATCAGAAAAGTACTTTTCTTACTTTGGGAGAAAAATTCAACGTTTCTTGATATTTCTGTGTTTCTATTTTCCTTCGCCAAAAATATGTTTTTTGATATCAAAATCGATCATATATTTGCAATCTGAACATCAGATAATGCATAATTTAAAAAAAACGTTTGTTCATAAAAATTTGTGCAGAATTTCCTCAGTCAGTTTTGACCATAAAAAGATTTTTGTCATGGTCATTTTGTTTTCGTTTCAACAGATATTTCGACGTATGGTAGCGAACTGGACTAAAAATAATCATTCAAATGCTCGCATGATCCGTAAAATTTGTGCAATGTGGGCGGATTAAACCTGTTTTCGAAAAGTTTTTAGCCTCTTTAACCCTTTTCTCTTACATTCTTTGAGTAAGAGTGCATGAAACAGTTTCGTTAGAATGATATCTCTTGCATACATGTATCATTCTCACGTTTCGTAACAGCAATAATCAAAAAGTAGAAGTAGGAGTAGGATTTTGAAGTCTGTTATGGTAGGGATTTATATTAAAAAGTAGGGAAAGTAGGTTTTAGCTTTTAAACCCCGCAACAGCACCGACCATGCTGTCCGAGGGAAAATTTTTATTTTATTTTTATTTATGTCTCATTCGAAGGAAAAAAACGTGAACTTTCACAAAGTTTCGTATCCTCCGATTTTCTGAAAACTATCAAACTCCTATGATTCCGTTCATGACTCATTTGAAACAGAAATGTTTACTCTATAAGATCATATATTTAGACATAATAATATATTTAACTATCTAGGACTATACCCCCCTCCCCCCCATAATAGAAGCCTCCGGGGCTTCTAAACTGTCCAAGTGTTCAAAATGTTTAGGGGGGGNNNCCCCCCCCATAATAGAAGCCTCCCCCATATTAGAAGCCCCCTCTGGAGGAATCGATGTGGAAGGTGTATTAGAAGCCCAAGGGCTTCTATTACGTCGGAAAAATAATTTCAATTTTTTAAACGACACATCTGATCGACACGCGTTTTTTTACTTTAATTGTTTTGTGTGATGTCGTGTGTGAAAAAAGGAAATGAATAAAATTTACATTTTTTATCTCGAAAAAGATTTTTTTCAGATTAATCGAGATTACTGTGATTAGAAAGGCAAGAGCATCGAAATTCAAAATCTCCTTTTTTTTCTGAAAATTTTTGTACGAAAGTCGTAATAGTAGCTCCTTCATAATACAAGCCCCCCCTAAACATTTTGAACACTTGGACAGTTTAGAAGCCCCGGAGGCTTCTATTATGGGGGGGAGGGGGGTATAACAAAAAACTAATAACCATATTTGTAGATTGCATTTTTCTCAACACTTTTTAAATATAAGCCATGCATATGGCGGTCCCAAAATAAATCTTACTTCATTTTGTAGAGCAGGCAATTCTGTATCGATTTATATGTAATAGAACAGTTTAAAACACTAGGATGATGTACTATAAATCAAATATTGAAGACAGACATAGGTTTCATTGTTTTCTTACTTTTCTAAATTTTGATACAAATCTCAAAGATCTGGACATATCTGGACAAAACTATTTTTGAGTCATTACAGATGTAGGGAAAACAGTTTTCTACAAAACGAGACGTCGGCGAGCTCTGTACGATGGTTCTTATGATTTTACACACACACTTTATGACTAGCACTGTTTTTGAGACCCGTCTCCTACTGATTTTCTCCCGGGTTTTGATCCGTTGACTAAATACAATAATTTATATATGATTGAATAGAGCATTGAAAGTTACATCTGGTGGCATGCTTTTTTTTATCTTCATTAGCTCATATTAGTGAAGAAAAAAGATATTTAATTTTGTAAAAATGGCTGGAAAATGGGTGTTATGTATGGGAAAAGACATTTTTTACCTACTTTTCACAAGTGAACCTTTTTTAGTTTTGCGTTTAAAAATTGCACATGACTCAATGCTAGTTACTCATGTCAAAACTTGATAGAAATTATCTTTTCCTAACCGTTTAAAATAGATCTTTTTAAAAACAAAGTTAGACAAACTCGTGAAAGATACCCTGAGTTGACTTATATATGATTTTTAGACGGTTAGGAGAAAAGAATTTATAGCAAGTTTGACATGAGTAGCTAGCATTGAGTCATGTGCAGTTTTTAAACGCAAAACTAAAAAGGTTGATTAGTGAAAGGTAGGAGAAAAATGTCTTTTTGCCTGTGAATTTACTAAAAACATAGAAAATTAAAAAAGTAGGAAAAATAGGAGAAGTAGGAGAAAATCCAGAAAGGAGGACATAGTAGGACGGTTTTATAGAAAAGTAAGACGTTTACGAAGCCTGCATTCTCTCAAGAAGCATTTATCCAAAAACATCTATTTTGCAGCTTTTCCGCACCCCCTCCCCCCCATTTGCCGAATTTTCACTCCAGGATAGCACTATTATTTCTCAGATAAAACTGAGCATTAGTCATGCCAATAATTTTCTAACATGTTAAAATATGCTTTTGTTTTAAGAGTTTTTACTAAGACAACATCCAGCAGCTTTTTTTTAATTGAAACTGTTGCACCCGCTAAAAGTTCCAATATCATCATGAAAATCCAACTTATTTCACTCCTCTCATCGCTTGATGGTGATTGAAGTTGGTGCTTAAATGAAAGGTCGTCGAAAGATGACCTTACTTAGTGTTATAATTGCATAATCTAAACTGGAAAATTTCACATGTAGTGGAGTATATACAATCCACAGGGAAAGCGTCCTCTTTGATCTTCAAGCTCAGTTCATATATTAGCTAAACAAACGCTTATGCTATCATCATTTGGAACTACTCTCCTAACAATGTACCGAGGAAAATGTAATTATCGCCTCTTATATCTTAAGGGCCCCCGTCAGGAAAAAACATTTTTATCTTACACCCGATTTTGATGGTGCTTTCAGTGACTAATGCTTACTATCCTACGAGCTTATGCTAAGAATTTGAAATTGAAACGCTGCCGAGTTATTGCGTGACAACGGAGAAAATGGGGCCTTTAACAAACACGTTATAACCTTTTTGTTGGAAGGTGCAGAAAGTTGCGAGAGGCCTCAAATGAAAGTAGACACCTAAATCTAAAATTTAATTTAATAAACGATTTTTGAATTTTGCTTCCGTTCATCCCCTACAGGTATTTTAGGTCAGATCTCTGAAAATAACCCTAATTCAGCGGTATTTGCCACTTATCTCTGCACAGACAACAAAAATCAAAAATCAAAACTCGCCGCGGATCAAACTTTAGATAAATGTCTTAGCTCCAAAATAAAACAAGAATGGAGGTTTTACGACGAATCGTCTAGGAGGTGATACAACTTTGCTGCGCCAAACCATGTCTGTTAAAACGGACAACCTTAAAAATTTTAATAAAACGTGAAATTTAGGAAAAGGTGATTTTTAAGGCTTTCAGAAACCTTTTTCAAAATCGTCCAAAAACCCTTCCACCCCTCTTTTTAACCTCCTTGGGAATCAGGGAAGCCCATGTCTGATATATTGATATTACCCTCAGATCGGCTCTAACGTATATGTGGTAAAAATTTCAGTTCGATCAGACCATTTTTTCGGGGGTCGTAATGTGACTGGATTGATGGAGCTATGGAAAAAACACATTTTGTACACAGGGCACTTTTTTCAGGGCATTTGCCCTAATGTTGATATTTCTATGAAAATTCATCAGAAAATTCTGGGAAATGTCTCATTTTGAAGAGAAGACTGTCAGACTATGTATGAGAAAAAATTTTGAATGTACAGAAAAGGAAAGAAAAATTTAAGAAGCTAAAAGATTGAGTTTTTTCAGCCTTTGAAGAAACAACTAGGCCTGGAATAGTTCCCAGGATGCTGAAAATGTTTCTTAGATTTTTTTCGTGCTACTTTCGTCGAAATATATGTAATCGACCAAGCTGATTACGAATGTCACATTCATTTTGCTCAAAAACACTTTCCTTATTCATAAAAAAGTTCTTTTATTATAGAAGATACCACATAGATGGTACTCAGGCCAACCTCTTGTCTTTTCCCGGTCTCAGTTGTATCGAAATAAGATTTTCCTAACGTCAAATTCTTTACTCTATCCAGTCCATGTAAAAAAAGTATTCGAAAAGCTCTTTCCTCTTTTCTTATGGACTTTAATGCAAAAAATGATGGAAGAACCTGTTCCATATGATATCCTAATTTACTGTGGCTTAGTTATTTCTTGAGGAATAAAATTACCTAGATTATAGTTTGAAATAATTTCGTAACGACAAGCGATATTTTGTTTTGGGTCATTTTTACCTGATACTAAAAATTGCATACTTCCTTCAAAATTGATCACAGTGGCTTTAAAACTATAGAAGATACACTGTTTTGTAATATACACACGATTTTGGGATTTAAAAAAGGCAAGAGAAAAAATATTTTTGTTTCGAAAGTGTCTAGAAGTCCGGGTGAAAAACCCAACTCTTTTCTAGCTTTTAGGTTAAATCATACGTAGAACAGCCCAAATTAAATATTAGCTGACGTTTCGAAGTCGTTGTGATCAATTTTGCCGATGAAGTTTTTAGTATTGGGTAAAAATAAGCCAAAATGGATTATTTCACATAAAGTCAAATTTTTGTAGGATGTCGAATGTTTTAAAACAAGGTGCCTTGCAATATATATTCCAGTTTTGAGGAAAATTATGTTTTATGATTAAAGCGATCACTTCACAATAATTCCTGATTTATAGCAATTAAAATACATGATTCAATTATAATGGAAAACTTTCAAAAAAAATTACATTTCCCGCATAAATATCACAAGTACAGAAATCAACAGTTTCCATACTACTACAAAGCATAAACTAAATCTCGTATAAAAAAATTAAAAACTACTCGGTCGGCTATTGACATCAAACGGAATGAAGAAAAGAAATGCACTTGCGGTCTCACGTCGAGATAAATGTCATAACTCCTAAATGAAATCTGAACGCGATCACAGTTTAATTGCATAAACAGCAACATATGAGAGTCAGACATCTGATGGAAGGTGGCTGTAGCAGATAATCGTTGACATTTTTATATTGTAAAAACAAAGTCGAAAAAGTAAAAGCAACTAATCTATAAGTATCTTCTTAAAAATATTAAGAGTGGATGATTTAAGAAATAACTATTACGTGGAGACTAAAAGTACTTGTTTTTAATCAAAGTATGCTTGAAACTAAAGGATCTAGCAAATCCAGTTCAGCATCTAAACCATAGCGTTTCCCTGACTCCGTCAAAAAGTCCGTTGTTTTTCTCCCATATCGTACTCGGCAGTGTTTTCCACAATATGAGAAAACTGATGCATTTGTTAGTTTTCCCTGAACCCATGTAACATCTACTTCAAATCCACCACGAGCTCTCAGACCTCTCACCGAACCAGTGGGCCAAACAGATGGTAAAGCTGGTAGTAAATGGACTTGACCGGTGTGACTTTGTACAAGCATTTCACAGATGCCTGAAACAGCTCCGAAATTCGCATCAATTTGAAATGGCGGTCCATAGATGAGATCAAAGAGATTTATAGAAGTGTAATAAGGCGTGAGTAACATCTGCAAAAGTTTATAGGCATGATCACCATCTTCAAAACGAGCCCACAAGTTGATTTTCCAAGCCATAGACCACCCCGTTCCATCGTCGCCTCTCATCAACAGCGATTTCATGGCAGCTGCATACAAATCAGGCGTTTCTCGTTGTGTTATTCGACTTCCAGGGAAAAGCCCGTAAAGGTGAGACATGTGTCGATTGTGAATATCAGCCACAGCATCCCAGTCTTCAAGCCATTCTTGTAATTGGCCCAAGTGACCGATTTGCATTGGAGCTAATCTATCACGAGCTGCTTGAGTTTCTTTACGAAAATCAGCATCGATATTTAACAACTCTGAAGCTTGAATACAAGCGTCAAACAGATCCCCGACTAAAAGTAAATCCATCGTAGGACCATTACAGACTACTGCTCCGATGTTATTATGATGTGGGACTTCGGGTGACATGGATGGTGAGGTGACAAGCCACTGATGTTTGGGTTCTACTACAAGTGTTTCTAAAAAGAATTCTGCACAACTTTTCATCACTGGATAATGTTTCTTTAGTGCAATCAAATCTCCCGTGAACTCGAAATGATCCCAAAAGCTTTTACATAACCACGCGCCACCTGTTGGCCATGTGCCGTAGACTGAGGCATCAACAAGCGAGGCACCTCTCCATGCATCCGTATTATGATGTGTCACCCAACCTCGTTTTGCTCCATAGTGTAACTGAGCGGTATTGACACCAGTAACGGATAAATCTTGTAGCATATCAAAGAGAGGTTCATAACACTCGACAAGGTTAGTCGAGGCTGTTGGCCAATAGTTCATTTCGATATTGATGTTGATCGTGTATTTACTACCCCATGGAGGATTCATATTGTCATTCCACACACCTTGCAATGTGGCTGTTTGTGTGCCTGGCCGGGAGGAAGAAATAAGCAAATATCTCCCAAATTGAAAGTAGAGTGCTGCCAGCTGTGGATCATTTCCTTCCTGAAACTTTGCCACCCGTTGATCCGTTGGCAACTTCATCGATTCCGACTGGCCTACATTTAAATCTACTCGTTTAAATAAACTCTGGTAATCTGCCACGTGTGCATCACGTAGTTGTTGATACGATTTCACTACCGCTCCTTCCAAATATTTCAAAGCAACAGCTGCCTGATCACCGCTTACATCGTGATAGTTTTTATAACTTGAACCGATCGAAACCAAAATTGTGACGGCACTTGCTTCGATCACAATCAACTCTCCATTCTCAGCATACACGCCTCCTTCGCCTTCCACTAAAACATGAGCTAAAGCCTGAAACTTGACACTACCACTTATTTTATCAAAATCACCACTAATTCCATTCAAAGCCAATGTCTTATTATCCAACACAACCACGTTCGACTTTTGTGGACTTTCAAACGTCACGGTAAAATTTAACCTTCCCGGTTGATCTGCTGTGAGACGGATGACAATCACTCCGTCCGGTACTGTAGAAAACACTTCTCTCGTATATTGAACGCCTTCCGCTAAATAACCCACTGTCGAAATGGCGGTTTCTAAATCTAACTGACGACGATAGCCGGTAATGGTGTTCAAACCAAAAAAATTCAATAGTAAATCTCCAACCGGTTGATAAGGCATCTGTGATGCAGGGATACCAAAAAACTTATGATCAATTAAAGTTTGAGCATCAGTCCATTTCTCATCAGTAATCAATTGACGAATCTGGGGTAAGACTGAAAGCGCTCCAGCATTAGCGTAGTCATGAGGCCCACCAGCCCAAACAGTATCTTCGTTTAATTGAAGTTTTTCTTGCACGATTTCACCAAAATGCATTGCACCTAATCGACCATTACCAATAGGTAGTGCTTCAAGCCATTTTGACGCTGGCAATAAATACCAGAGTGTAAAATCATTCGAAGGTGGATCTGTTACTTGTCCAAGAATTTTGACAGTGTTTGAACGGCAGCCATATTTAAGTAAAAGACGAATAGAATCATGATTTCGACTATTAACAGCTAAGTATAATGCATGGGAACCAAGTAATTGCCTGTCACATTTTTCCTGCGTCAATAGCGCTTTAATCATTTCAAGTGAATTGTTTTCAACAGCAATGTGGAGTGGATAGCGTGTTTGTCCATTATCTACTGCCACATTAGAATTGAACTTTCGAAATACTAATGAATGCTCATGTTCTAAATTTAACGAAGAGAAATACGTTTCAACGCAGTCTTGATTATCTGTTTGATTTTGATCCAAATCAATTGATAATAAATATTTGACAATATTTAAATGACCACAATATGTTGCAAAGCTCAGAGCGTTCAACCCCCATGGTCTAAATGAGAAAGAAAATTGAGGTTGCTGCTCGTGCTAGCGTGCCTGTAAACTACGTATTCGTTGTGTAATTCGAATTTAAGACGTTAAATGAAGTTCATGTTCGATTAAATCACATGCGCGCAGTCGTTAATCGAAATTTTAAGGAGGGATATCTCCCTCCAGCCAAACATCCCCTCAAA